TATATAAACTTTCTTTCTTAATAAAATATAACTGAATGTTTAAAGGTAATTTATTATGAGCCTTATACATATAATCTGCAAGATATTATAATCAACCAACTCATAAAATTTTAATAATTTTAATTTAGAAAATAATATATTTGATGGATGACAGTAATGTTTTCTGGTGATAATTCTGACGGCTCTTTTCTGTGAAATAAAAATAGGATTTGTGATTGTTTTGCACGGTTTACCCCACTCACTTAATTTCACTTAACTGAATGTAAAAATAGATTCCAAAACATTTGTAAATGTTTAAATGCAACAAAATAAACACATTTAAAAGGTAAAAGATTATGTATTCTGTTAGTGTTTCACCTACCATTAATGGGCAGTAAACGTAGTTCTTCCATTATAAATCTACAGCCACTTTGACAGGAATAAATCAAACATACAACAAGACATATAGTGTTAAATTTTAAAATAAATAAAAACAACATAGAGCATTTCTGTTTAGCTTGTAAACAGGAAACAAACAAATGGTTCACTTGAAATTTAAGCTGTAACACGTTTAATGGACTATTGATTTGATTTGATTTATTGATTCAACAGGAAAAGATTATTAAAAATCAAGCCTGACTCAGCATAATTGCTGTTTTACTGCAGGTTCCTGTTCTGCAGCACATAAAACGCTCAGAATTACAGCATCACAATCACATCATTATATACACTCCTGATCAAAATCTTAAGACCAGTCAAAAAAGTGCAAGAATTTGGATTTTGCACTATTGGATCTTAAGAAGGTTCTAAGTAGAGCTTCACAATGTTAAAMRAAGAAATCAGTGCAAGAGACAAGAACTTTTGAGCAGGAATTTTCTGAAAACTGCATTTACACTCAAACATGATTTTTTTCAGCTGATCAAAAGTTTAAGACCATAGCTCAAAAAAACCTGAAAACCCCCAAAACAGAAATCAAAGTGTCAAAAAAAGGACTCAGTAATGAGGAGCTCCACCAGTCTTGTTGATGACTTCAAACAATGGTTTAGGCTTGATGCCAGTGTTTCCAGGAGGCTAATGGGAACGTTGCTCCAAGTGTTGAAGATGGCTTCACGAAGGCCATCCACTGTCTGGAACTGATGTCCATTTTTGTAAACTTCCCTTGCCATCCATCCCCAAATGTTCTCAGTTGGGTTTAGATCCGGAGAACATGCAGGATGGTCCAAAAGAGTGATGTTATTCTCTTGGAAGAACTCCTTTGTCAGGCGGGCATTGTGAACTGCAGCATTGTCCTGTTGAAAAACCCAATCATTACCACACAGACGAGGACCCTCAGTCATGAGGGATGCCCGCTGCAACATCTCCACATAGCCAGCTGCTGTTTGACGCCCCTGCACAACCTGAAGCTCCATTGTTCCATTGAAGGAAAACGCACCCCAAATCATGATGGCGCCCCCATCACTGTGCCGTGTAGAAAACATCTCAGGTGGGATCTCCTTGTCATGCCAGTAACGTTGGAAGCCATCAGGACCATCAAGGTTAATGTTTTTCTCATCAGAGAAGACAACTTTCTTCCACCTTTCAATGTCCCATGTTTGGTGCACCCTTGCAAAGTTCAAACGGGCAATTTTGTGACGTTGAAGAAGACGTGGCCTTTGAAGATATTTTTTGTTTCTGAAGCCCTTCTCTCACAGATGTCGTCTGATGGTTACTGGGCTGCAGTCAGCACCAGTAATGGACTTAATTTGGGTAGAGGATCGTCCCATGTCTTCACGGACAGCCAATCGGATGCTGCGGCTCAGAGTTGGTGAAATGTTTTTGGGTCTACCACTTGACGTTTTTGTTCCATAACCCTCAGGATCATTTAAAAAATGTAAAATGACTGTCTTACTGCGTCCAACTTCAGCAGCGATGGCACGTTGTGAGAGGCCTTGCTTAAGCAGCTCAACAATCCTACCACGTTCAAAGTCAGTGAGCTTTTTTACTTTTGCCATCAGGAGGTCTTGACAGTGTAAAGACTTGACAGAAAATGACATGGAATCTAGATTTTTGCACAGATTTTGGCTTTTAAAGACTATGGTCTTAAACTTTTGATCAGCTGAAAAAATCATGTTTGAGTGTAAATGCAGTTTTCAGAAAATTCCCTGCTCAAAAGTTCTTGTCTCTTGCACTGATTTCTTCTTTTAACATTGTGAAGCTCTACTTAGAACCTTCTTAAGATCCAATAGTGCAAAATGCAAATTCTTGCACTTTTTTGACTGGTCTTAAGATTTTGATCAGGAGTGTACCATAGACACAAAGACAAACAAGCATACCAAATTTCAAGAGGGCAGCATTTGCAAAATAGGACGTCTAAAAATGAGCACAACAAAAAGTGTCCAGCAGATGGCAGACAAGATTCTTCTTAAAGGGCTGCAGTTTTGAAACGGACTTTATGTTTTGAGGAATATCTTATTGTATTGGTCATGAGGATTGAGGTATTTTGAACAAAAACTTTTAAAAATGCTGGGATTAGTATCAGGACACCACATGTTTGTTTTATAAAGAATGTTGTTGCTATAGAATGAAAATGGGCTCAAAAAGAGGAAAACCCCACAGAATAGTTTCAAAACGAAACAAAAAAGTGCTGTTTAAAATTCTGTACATCAGGAAAAACGTTTTGCCGCTTTAAATGAGTCCATTTGGCAGCGAGGCGGGACAGAAAATGGATGTTGCAAATTGCTTCCCAGCTGTTATTTGTAATTATGCATTTTTTTCCTATTTTTTTGTTTCAATCGGAGAGCAGAGAATGGAGTCAGGATTTGTGTGTGAGGGGGTGTTTGTGTGTAATTGATATAATGAAGCTGGAGGAAAAGCTTTGAAACGAGAGCCTCGGTGAGGAAAGGAGAAAAAATTCAAAATAAAAGCCTTTGTGTGGCTGCAGAGCGGCCTCTTTGTCGATCAGAGCCGGGGCCGACGCACAAAGCGTGGCTGATCTGAGTTACAGCGTTGTTTGGAAGGATTTAAGAGGCCGAATTTCCCCGACAATATTTGCCACATCAAAGAGCGCCCTGCAGTAAACAGACTCACTTGTTCTGCAGCCTCACTGGTTTAACACAGGCCAACACAAAAACATCTGTAAGATGAAGGAACTTGTGTTGTGCTGTCTGCATTTTGTCCCCAAAAAACAGGAATCTATTATAAATATTAAAAAACATTGTCGAG